TAGAGTTTTAGGCAGTCGCGGTCGTCCACTGGAACAAGTGATTGACCTCCATAGATTACGTCGGTTGGAGCATGTTTTACGCATGTCACCAAATAGGTTGCCATGGCGAGCGATGTTCGCCGAGGCAGGTAGCGGCTGGATAAATGTCAAGGGTGGCCAAGCTAAGACCTGTCACGAGGGTATGAAAACCCTGACCAGGGGACTGGGTCAAATAAGTCCCGCGAGGCTCCCTGGCTGGGGACCTCGGGATGATGGTCACTGATGGTTAGAGACACTGAGTGATGTGGCTAAGTGTCGTTAACGGTGGCGTTTGTGCATCTGAATTTCGTCGTAGCATTATACCACTGAGATTATCCACTTTCTCTTCGGCTCTACTTTCAACTTTCCTGTCTTCGCCTATTCTCCATGCAAATGGGCAACCGAAGACAGCAACCAAAACCGGTGCAAGAAAGTGCATGGTTATTGGTCGAAAAACTGAAACTGAAACTGAGTGGTGTGTATCCTCCAAATCAGCTGGGATTCTGATTAGCGCCCGTGAGATGCTTAGTGTGTAACAATCGTCATTTTTAACTGCACCTTGGGATTGAATATTGTAGTAGTCACTGTTTCTGTTTTTGATTGATGTCTTCATAGTCAGGATGTGTTTAGTAACATAGTGGGCTCGTTCTTTATCACGTCTTTTACTTGCAGTTTTAACACCTCTACTGTTTGAACCACCTCCATCTAGAACATATCAATCTGTTCCCATAAAGAAGATTTCCCTTTATTGATCGGTTTATCAAAACCAGTCTGAGGACGTTTATATCCAGGAAAAACCATGCGAGATGAAGATCAGCGGCGAGCAAAGAAAGAAAAACTTTTTCAATTTTATCGTGATCCGAATGCTGCAACTCAATGTTCTGATATGGAATCTGTAAAGACGCTGCCGACAGATGATGATATCCTTAACATTGATGGATCTTCATTTAACGCCCGAGCCTATTTGGAGAAACACTTGAAAGAAAAGGATCTTTCCGATTTGATTCTTGAAGAGAAAGTGTTGACTGAACAAATACGTTCGCTGGATTCGGAAATGCAAACATTGATGTATGATAATTACAGCAAGTTCATCAGCGCTACCGACACTATTCGATTGGTGAGTTGCACAACCGGTTCTCGTTAGTCAGTCTCCACATCTAGATGAAATCAGACTTCAAATATGTGGAAAAGGAAATGGATTGTTTGGTGAAGAATATGTCCTCTATTGGGTCACTGTCTGATAAAATCAAGGATGGTTTGGTGGGAGAACGCGCCCGAGTGAAGACTTTAATCAATACACAGCAGACGTTAAACAAGGTACTGTAAAGCTTATTCAACTCGAATATATAATGTAGTTCAAGCATTTATCTGAATTGCCCTCACGTCTTCGCAGACATTTGGTTCATTCGCAGTGGACAGAGGCCATTAACGATCTCAACAAAGCGAAGTTCATACTCGGGAGTTATAGCTCAACTCCATCATTCAAAAGCATACGTGACGACTGTTCACAACTTGTGTGCGATATGCAGCACAAAGTTTGGGGCCAATTCGATCGCGCGGTAAGTGGTATTCCATCTTGTAACCTTAGCACAGCTAAAACCAACGGAATTCTATGCCTCACTGAAAGTGCTTCGACAACTTGGGGTGCATACATCCAGGCTATCAGACGCCTTTATTAAACTGTGAGTACCACGATGGTTTTCTTTTTGTTTTTAATTAAACGTCAGTCTGATCACTTATAGTAGCGATTAAACTCAGTCAAAAAGGTTTAATTGCTTTTATCAATCCCCTGTGTGTCAAGCTTTTCTTTCGCACATAAGTGAATATCGTAAAAAATATAAACCATTAGTCTAAACACTAAAATAGGTGGGACCCGTGTATTGATTCAGCTCTTGAAGGTCATGATGCAATAATTTGAAGAGAAAGCTGAAAAAAGGGATGTTTTACTGTTGTGCTTTTGTAAAGGAAAAAGATGTCTGTAAGTTAGAAACGCAACGTCTAGGGATAGTCACTTGAAATGGGTGATTTGTCGCTTGTGTACCGAACCTGCGAGGAAGAGCAAGGAGGACGGTAGACGCAAGTTCGGTCGAACACAAACCAGGATGTTACCCATAGAATTATGATAGGGAAGTGACAGTTTGACGATGAACTAGTGACTGAGTTCACCTGTTGGTGACTGGTCCTCAATGAGACTAGTGACCTTACGTTGACCCCGATCGAGAAGAGACAGCAAGTTAGAGAAAGTTCCACTCCACACAACCGCAGTATTCAAATATGGTTCAAATGTGAGGAGGTAAATAGCGACGAAGAAAAGCCTGTCACGGAAGAGAACTCCGATTTCCTTGCCGCGCGGGAGGCAAGTATACAAGGTTTTGCGGGTTTTCCGGAAACCGAGGAGGGAACGGTCAATGCTAATGTTAGAGTTAACAGAAATGAAAGGAAAACAGAACGAAGAAGAGTCAAGTGAAAGTATGGATAGACAAAGAATGGGGGAAAATAAAGAACCTTGGTGGACATCAGTATTCACAAGTACGGAATGAAACATGGCCCCATGTACTCGGATGACAATGCTGTAATCGTTGAGATAACTTGCTATCCAGATTATAAGTTCCGACGGAAAATCAAGCCTGGGCAAGTTATCGAGCAGTTCTGAGTGTCAGACACGATCGGAAGCCTCCAGTATGTCCGAGCACATCATGTGGGTTTCTCTGAAGTTGTCGAGTTCTGGCTGGGGTAGAAAAATGGTTATTCGGGTCTGACGCATGGGAAATATTTCAGCTGTTACCCAAGAGGTTAGGCTTACCCTGGATTTGAAGGGTAGACCGAAGCGAGGTAGAACAGGGAGGAGACAGTTCTGGAGCGTCCGTTTTGAGGACGATGGGGATTGGAAGAACCGGGTTCCGGTGGTTCGTGAGGGTCTAGTCATAATAGGATTCAATGTATCTTTCAGTTGGAATTGAGAGGTGTGAAAAGATGGCATGTTGTAGTTCTAGTTTCAGTTTGAATAACTGTTAATCATGCGACGGTTTTGGTTGTTTTCTTTTGATTACGCATTTGGATGAAGGGGTTGAAGGAAGACAGGAATGTTGAGGGTAATGCAAAGGTTGAAGTAGTGAATCGAAATAGATTAAGGTTTCAAGTGCACTGCATGAGGACCACTGTTTACAACACTCAGCTGTATCAATCAGTGCCTCTAACCATCTTTTAAAATGATTCCGAGGTGTCTATCTAGGAAACCTAGCGCAGTCTATGTGAGCAAGTCTCCTGCGCAGGGTTTTCATACCCTCATGCGAGGTCTTAATTTGACCATCTGTTACTTTTTTCACCCACAACGCGCCTGGGCAAACATTGCACATCGTAGCAAACTATTTGATAATATGCATCACGCATGCCCCGCCTAGCGTGCTCTATGAAAGTCAACCATTTGCTTCAGCGGGTGACTGCGACCACCTACAACTCTGCACCTAGCCTCATCATTGTTTGTCCCGTTTCCCCACCAGGATCGTGCAATACGACATAGTCAGCAGTGTGTGTCTGTCTTTATTTTTTGTAGTGGCCAAGTTTCCGTGTTGTGTATCAGAACTTTTCGAACTACTGCGGCATACAGGATGTCGTGACGGCGTTAGCAATGTTTCATGTTGGCTAATACCAATGGAGTCTTTTGTATGGAGGGGGGGGGGGGGACACTCAGTCCGTTATGCGNTGCGTCCGCCGGGTCACGCAGCTGCCCAAATAGTAAATTTTCCACTTGCTCCATTCCCCGTTTATTGTGAAGTGAGATCAGCAACAGCATTTCACACGGCTAAGGTGCAAAATGCCGAACAAGGCTACACTAGCACTCAAACTCTACAGTCTGTGCAGGATTGGAGGAATAATTCATGCAGTTTAGAGTTGGAATCCAAATGGGAGGCAAACACTAAATCACCAAATGGGTTGGCATTTAATGGTAAGTTGGTGGAACAGAATTTACGAAGTGTTGCTCTATCAAATGACCAGAACGTCCGTCTTCCATGAAGAGATTGATAACCGTGTTGTTTTGCGCTTGACAGATCACTTCTTAGTCTTCCGTGTAGTAGCTGTGCGATTGTTGCGTGTTTGTGTGAACAGTGGACTGGACCATGGGAATAATGAGTGCCGCTATTGACGGATTACTCCTTTCACTTTGTGAATATTGCTCTTCTGGGAAAAAGGTTTGCGTTGATTAGATCAAAGCACATTCAATAAATGCATGCCCTGTAAAATAACTTCGGAGCATTTACAAGTTGAGGCAAAGATACCGGCGGGGGCATATTGCCAGAGCATTCCTCTGGCGAATAGGAGTGAAACGGGTAAATTGGGTAACAAATGAAATAAAACAGTGATTTTATAAGACCACTGGAGAAACTGATGTAATTTTGGACATCAGATGTGGTTCGATTATGAAGACAAGATTGAGGGTAGGTGTATGGTCGGCATCAGGGACGGGAATACGAGTGGATAAGTGAAGCAGGAGTAGAAGGAGCAAACCCTGTAGTCAGCAAGACCTACCGTTTATGCGTGATAACCGACAAAGACCTGGTAATTGGCGTAGCGAATCAAACTAGGCCCCACTAAAATAGATGGAATATTGAGGTGGACAAGATGAAGCTGCGTATCACCAAAGTTAGGTGGCGGTGTTCGGGTTCAGACCTCGAACCTTAGAGTTCAAAGCACACCGCTAATAGTAATTGAAACCGCTCGCTCACTATGGTTTCATTTTTAAATCTGGAAACCTAAGCTTTGTCAAAACACGTGAAGCCGTAATGGTTAGGACTTAGTGTGGAACCGGGTTATCCCTAAATTGAGCGCTTTTCTGCGTAAACTGTTCGTAAGGGTTAGATATTATGCAGTTTTATGTGGACACTTTATGGTGTTCGCCATTTCAAGTGCCTGGGCTCAGGTTGCCGATTGCTATCACCGAGTAGCTGGTCTTCGCGACTATGGAGCCCACCCCGTCTGCTGTTAACCACACAACTGTTTGTGATAAAAAATTCGGGGAGGATTCTTCCTGATGTTTACGGATATTTATTCGGACTTTTATCACTGAGTTGTCTGTTTTCCTGTTGGTCTTGTTTTATGATCCGTAGCACATAGCAATCTTTCCCATCTTTCCTGCCATGTCGCACTCCCATTTTAATTTGAAATTATAAAATCCCACCCAGGTCATTTCTTATGAGTTCAAAAGTGTTGACGGATGCGTGCAAAACAAGTTGCTACATTCGAAACCATGTATTTTTAAACGGTAAAACTGTAGCTCATCTTTATACGCCTTATTTGAATATCGGTTTTCATTCGTCTTTCTGTGTAGTTTTTCCAATTGACATTTAGCGAAATGTCGTTACTCCTGGATCGCGCGATGTTCATTTGATCTATTGTTTACATCTCTTAGCGCACGTGATAGGCTTAACGCGACTGTCGCTGCCTTGCAAGAAAAGACATCGGGAGTCCGCAAGTCCACAAAAGAACAAGGTGATCTGCAGAACAAATCAACCGAATCTGTGACCAACAGTACAAGCGCAGATTATACTCGTCCAGTAAGTACATTTTCTATCTTAGGTTCTCCCCTAATGAAGAACGTACATCGAGCTCACCATGTTGTTTGTGATTTCTCAATAGGATATCCTTCACTTTGCAAACTTGCTCACGGATCACATACTGGACGAATTGAGTGGCTTTGCATCGGCCTATGCCAGTCTTTTTGCCGCAGAGAAATCCATGGACAAGGAAGACGAAAGCGAGTGCACTGTTATGTAAGCAAATTGGGTTTAATATCCTGCTGTTTCGGGCTTATAACCCAGTTTATGGTTTAATAACACTGCCCTTCAGGATTTTGCACTTGATTATGCGTATGACTTCTATCGTTTATAGTGTACCGTCCGTAAAACTAGGTGATGTTACTGAGTTTCATACACGGAGTAGTTCTTTTAATTGTTCACTATTATCCTACTAATCTTATTCACGTGGGATAATTGAAAAACGGTTGCTAGAGTTTCTTGTAAGGTTTTCGTATGGAGTAACAACTAACACTACAGCATGAAAGGTATTCAGTTGCTAGTTGTTGTAATGACTCAATCGAAGGAACTATAACCACGACCCACGCGATTGTAATTAGGACTATGTACTTGCAAGTTTCGATATTAGTGGTCAGTCTATCAGACACCCAGCGAAGTATGATCACGGAGGCCTAATCGGAGCAGGCGGAGTTGCGAATTTGATACCAG